GCACTGCGTCCGTACCAACAAAGAAACCACAATCATCCCTCCCCCAGGATGCGAGAGGGATGACAAACCCAACACCATCAGCAAGCATGACTCAAAAGCGTTCTTTTTCCATGACCACACGCGGAAGTTTTGGGGGAGAGAACTCAACCCTCCATGAGCTACCTGCTAATCACTCCCGGGATCCTTTTACACCCCTGGGGGAGAGTAGCGGGGACAGGGTGAGTAATTGTAGGGGTAGGCAACAGAGCGAAGGGTCATTTAAGGTTAGTAAACAGTGCAAAGAAAAAGCTGCATTAGGGCGCATGCCCATGGAAACTCGATGATCTGGATTCAGGAGTGTTTTGGCAATGCAGCGGCGCTTATAAAAGAGAAAGAAAAAGAAATCATTAAATTTATTTTATAGGCACAATTAATCATTGAACTTCTAGTTATAAATGCTTGCAATATGCAGTAGAACTAGTAGTTATATCAGGGGTCGGTAAAACCTTTTAGTTGCGATGTGCCAAACCAATCTACCAATATTTTCATCGTGCAACACAGTAGGACATATTTGAAATAATTCGATTCCCGCGATAATGCATGCAAAGTTAGAGAATAAAGGCCAACAATATATACAGATTTACAGTTTTAATGCATATAAATTTTGCATCATTTAAAGTTATTAATTAACAACAACAAAAAATACCATTCCTTCAACATAAATAAAAAAAATTAAATTCTACATATGTAATGTATCTTTTAAACATATTTATTAAAACAAGAAATAAACAACATAAAATATAAATGTTTTTCTTCAGTATTATTAAATAAAAAAATATATTTAAATGTTTTAATGCGTAGGTACCTAGTGTCTGCAGCTCTCTACTTAATATCGCAATATCAGGGGTATAATGTGTAACTTTTAATTTGACACCTTTCTGAGCATTCAGATGTTGAACAATTTCTTTGTGGACTCGAAATATTTTTCTTATGAGAAAACATTTGTTCACATAGATATGTAGCACCAAAAGCGGAAAGTAGAGTACATGTCTTCAAACAATTAAACCTCTCTGGCAATGGTGTATTCCTTAATTTACAAAACAGCTGTAGATTTATCATTGGAGTTATCTTACAGATTCTTTCGCAATTCCGTAAATGTCCATAACTCAGAAGATGTTTGCCAAATATCAACTTTCATCCACTCAAAAATTAACAAATTTGTTGAGTAATGTAGAGCGCCACTGAAAATTGTGCCTCGGGTCATAGGTGGCCAACCCTTGACTTATATAATATGCAGACGGATCTCTATTTAATGAAGTCACTAAATACCAAAAAAAAAAGTTCGTTATATCGAAAATTCGTTATATAGAGGTTTATCTTTCAATTTTTTATAAGCCACATAAAACAAATTTTAAATTCATAAACACTCTATATTATTAAAAAACGTAATTATTCACACTTTTTTTTGAAAATTAATATATATTTATTTATTTTATATATCTTTCCTATCAAAAGAAGAAGAAAAAAGAAAGAAAGAAACAGTGCAAGGAAAGTTTCTCAATGCTTTTGTATACTTTCTGAATAATTAACTTTTTTTTCTTTGATGCTCAAGCTCTTACTTTTTGACATTTACCAGTATGACGGTTCAACACTACAAATTAACGGAGACTAATTCAAAGACACGTGGACACGAGACAACTCCACTAAAAGTGAAAGGGGATGTCGAAAATATTTCCAGTGAGCTGGACAATGGGGGTTAAAAGTTACCCTTCTTGGATGAAATGCCTAGAATTATATTGCTCTTGACGAGTAAGGCACCTAATAAAACCAGTTCAAAATTTATGACTACCATAAAATGAGTTAAAAGAGAGAATAACTTGAATTGTCCAGAAATATTTCAAAAACAGGGGGAGGGGACTGAATCCCAAGAGTAAAAGTTCGTTATATAGAAAATTCACTTCGCTATTGGGACGTTATTTTACGAAGAAAATCGTAAAATGTTCTTGGTTCCAGGAAAAAATTAGTTATATAGAAAATTTCAGAGTATAGAGGTTCGTTATATATGGAGGTTCGACTACATATGATGAAAATCGCTGAACACGAAAAAATTTTCGTGTTAAAAGAATTTCATGTTAAGGAATATTGCAAAATAAACATATTCTCAACAAGCTTATTAGAGTACGTTTTATTTACATAGATCTATATTTGTATATGTATTAATAAAAATCAATGAAACAAAAACAATCACAACAACTTAATGAAATTTAATACAAAATTTTAAAGTTTTTAAAAAACAAAATATGTATTGAATTTTGGGGAAATAATCTGACATTTTTCTTAGTACAATGTCTTTTTTAGCTTCAGATTGTCGCCAAATTGTTCGATGACCTTCATTTTGTTATTTATTTCACCATTGGTAAGTGTGTCTAAATAACTGCGCATACTTTTTATGATGTTCCTCATTTCGATTGATGTGGGAACAGGAGCTGCTTTATTCATGCATTATAGGAATTTTCCCATATGGCAATACAGGATTGCATTTTGTTACTTGATGTTTTATTAAAACGGCACAATATTAGACAAGGTGTTTAAGATGGCTAAAGTTTTTTCCATTAACCCCTTAACTGCCGATTTTAAGTTATGAGATTCGCTCCCCAGTGCCATCGTTTTTCACATAAGTGCGCGTATTCAGAAAAGGAAAAGAAGAGACACAAATGAGGAAATTTTTTTCTTAAATAAGTAAATCCGTTACAAACACTGTCATGTCACTCAATTACATTCCAAGGCCTTCAGAATAGTTTTACTGATAACCACCCAATGAAAAAAATTGTATTTCGGAAGGATGGATATATACGTCCGGAGCACATAACATACTGGTTGAGAAAGACAGATATACACGCCACCAGCACTTATGGGGTTAGACAAGCACAGCGGAATCTATCTGCTAAGTTTAATGGTGGCTGAGAGGTTGTCTCGGTGACTTAGAAATAGTGTGCCCACCTCGTAAGGCTAAGGTTGCGGGTTCGGTCTCGGCTGGAGTCGATAGATTTTATGGATGCGAAAATCGTATGCATGCATGTCATGTGATTATGTGGCATGCAAAATATCCTTTAAGTATCAATTTGACTCTGGTATTCTAGGCAAAATTAAATCGTGGTAATATTTAGTATCCGACGAGAGCTTGTATTAAAATCAATTCAAGTGACAAAATTTGGTAGCGAGAGCCACCACTAGATGGTGCCGTTATGAAGTGGCGCTCACATTTAGGGATTTGCCATGCCTGTTAAGGCTTAGTTGCCAATATGCAGCTCATTAAGAAATAAAGTTCAATGGGAAGCTGGAAAATTAATTTCCTATATTTTATTCAATGACTTCATCATTTCTGTTGTGTGTGTGTGTGTGTGTGTGCTTGCTTCATTCATCTAGGAAAGATCATTCTAAAAAAGTGACGCATAAGAAATGAATTCCATCATTCGAGTGAAATTCAAATTTTGAGGACAATCGCCAGTTTGGTCTTGTTATTCAAATTCAACGACAACTAAAAAACTCTTTTGAATAATTCCTTGTTCTTTACTCTCATACAGAAAACAGTTTTATGAATATTTTGAATTTCCCCCCTTTAAACTGAAGATGAGGATTCTCTAGAGTAAACAAAGCTCTTTTTATGGATTTATGAATCAGCAGAATGAATATGGCTTCGTCTGCGTTGCCCTCATGCGCACGCGCAGTTCTCCAGCCTTTACTCCACTGATGCGCTGATCGCTTAAGCCCGTTGTTGATCATAAAACACACTCTCTCTGCCACCCCTGAAAAGAATGAAGTAGGGGTGGAAATAATTTCCATGCGGACGATTTTTTTTATGAGCCAAGGCAAATATTTCAGAGGTGTGCGTCAACACACCCACATCGGGATGATCCCAGTGAGGTTTTTAAGTGTTCTTTCTGACACTTAAAAGAGGATCCTTGAAAATTATTGAGGGAGTAACTTGAATTTTGTAAATTATTTGGCATAAAGAATTTTGAAGGCAGAATAAAATAAAAAAATTGTAAGGTTTTTAGGGCACCAAAATTCAAATGCAGTACTATAAACAAGTAAAAAGATCTGTGATTATTCTTCAGAAAGTTACAAATGGATTTTTTTCTATTGTCACAAAACATATAAGTGTTGTATTTGTGTGTGTGTGATGTCTCTTTTTGGATCTCATTTTTGATATAATATTACCATATTCTAAACGATTCAGAATAATTTAAAAAGGCCCGATCTTTTTATTTAGGTTGACACTGATTTTATATTTCTATTTGTTTGTCAACATATTTGTGTTATAGAGAGTCAAAACTTCCACAGTAACATTTTAAAAACAAGTAATAAAAAATAATGAAGTCAACTCCTACTTAGGTCAACAGAGAAAATTTTTACTATAGTTACTTTTTTATTAAATAGTTAAAATTATATGTCGCCCATCCGGTATAGTGGTTAGCGACGCTGACTTCTCTGCAGTTGGGGCTGGGTTCGAATCCCGGAGAAGACACGGATGCTTGTAAATGTATACTGCCTTCGCGGCATGGGGGTACTTTAAATAGCCGTCGAGCCGCAAGTCCTTTCGTGAGGTTGGTGGAAGGGGAAGAGAGGTGAGAGGCCCCTGACCACCCCCAGGGTGTTCTCCTTCTAAATTGGGGTGAAACCGAGCTAAATCGCTCTGTCACCTGTATGGTTCTCAAAGCTACGTCTAACAACAGGCGTCACTTAGCCTTTGCCATGATGAATTTCCTGGGCCTTGATCTAGCCTTTGCCGATCAGGTGGCATTTGAAACAACAACAACATATATTCATAAACATATGACAGAATCACAATATTAAGTGGCAAAATAGAAAGCGATTTTTCTTGCAATTCTCCTTTTTCCTTTCTATATAGGATGTTGGTTTATTATTTTGTTTTTGTTACTATTTATTTTCATTAATAAAATTTAATTATTCCAATAAAATAGTAGGGTAAAAGAAAATCATATTCTCAGAAATTAGGCCATTCCAGGTGGGGTTCGAGCCCACGACCTCTGGATTCGAAGTCCAACGCGCTATCTATTGCGCTACAAGGACACAACGAGCAATTTTCCTTTTCATGTATGGTGTCAAACTATTTTTTGTTACTATTTATTCATTAATTAAATAGAAAGTTAATTAATATTTGAAAAAACTGCATTAACATCAAGTGACATCCACTACAAGTTTTAAAAAATGTATTTGAACTTGAATGGATGAATAGAAAGTATATTTTATGAACGATTGAAAATTTGAATAAGATATATATAGGGAGAGAGTGAACTGATAGCAGGAATTGAATAATGCGTGATATCTAGGGTGGACAAAAATTATCTTTCATACACTCAAAAGCTTTTTGCGTCTCATTTTACAGCTCTCGAAAATTCTCTAACATGCTGTTTGGTCAGGTCCAGTGGAGGGCATAATTTTGCGATAGCTCACTGATAAAATATCACAAACGGAAATTTTATGAGAAATACGGTTACAACTAATTTATTATTTCTCCTAAGAGCATATTTAATATGAGATTAAGAACAGAGTGATGTTTTGAAGATTACAGGACAAAAATGAAATAATGAAAAGCTCTTTTTTAGAACATTTACAATAAGAAATGTTTACTTATAATTTCATCATAATCATATGAAAACAAATATTTAATAATAGTTTGCGCATATAATTATCACAGTTGATATTATCACTATGATATATTGATTGATTCATCTATATAACAGTTAAAATAAATAAATACGAATAAATGAAGACAAAAATAAAAAAATTTTTGTTAATAACTCAAAACAAATGATTTTACTGAATCAATAAAATAATTTAATCAATGGGAAATAATAAATTTTTTTAAAGTTGCATTACACAAGTACCACATCTATTTCTCACACCTCATTATTCATTATAAAAAAAAGAACACATTTTAAAATTCCGTTAAAAATTTTTTTGATTCATGACACTTAAAAATATTACATGTCTTATGTGGATATCTAAGACATTTGTGTGACGATGCAAAATTTTCTATTAAGCAACTTTCAATATTTACAATAAGCGATTGATAATTATTTTTATTTTTCCAAAAATGTTTAGAAGTAGCATTTTTATTGAGATATGAGTTATTAAGTATAATTTTTAAAGATGTAGAGTAAATTGTAACTTGAGATTTTTAGATATATTTTCTTTTATTCATGTTACAAAACACCTTAAGCCAAAATATCATGCAATTAACTTCTCTAATGATTTAAAATATATTTACTTCAATACGTAGCAGATGTCGGAATTCCGTGGAAAATAAATCAGATAAGGCAAAGAATCTATTTTTAAAATGTATTACATTTCCAATTATGCAGAAACTTTACATTAAAAACAAAATGTTTGTTTAGTAACAGTGAATAATTCATCACATGAGCTATAAAATAATTCTGAGAAAAGGAAATAATAATCGTCTGCTCTTGAAAATTATGTATAGTAAATTCCACTAAAATTCAATTTAGAATATTAAAATTTCTTCAAAGCAAAAAGTACGAATTTTTATCCATTTATTTTAATATATTCAAAAAAAATTTCCTTTATTTTATCACTTTCCAGAAACACGTATAGACTGACTTAAAATCATCTTAAACATCTCAGCTCTTAACATCATTCAGAAAGCTATTTTTGCTCGAAGAATTGCTGAAGAAGAAATATTTTTATTTTTCTTACACGCGCGCGGTTCGTTATCTTATACCTCAATTAAGGCTGCCGAGCAAACACTGGATTACTGTTCCATATATGCCGGCAAACGTCCAAAATGCAATAATTATAGTTTATGCTTCGCTTCAACAAGTCAATCTGTTTTGCTGAAAGCGTTGCCGACCTAAGTTCACCTTGAAAAAAAATGGCGGAACTTATTCCTAAGTTATCTTTTCACCCATGATAGAATTGCCTCAAATCTTTTCTTTTTTCCCGTGATAATGATTCATTATGTTTGTTTGTTTTAAAAAAGAGAAAGAAACGGGTGTTTTTTTTTATTTATCATCAGAAAGATAAACAAATCTAGACAGATGATAATTTGGTTTCAGAGATAATAAAAAAAATTTTTTTTAAAAAAACCCAGTTACCCTGTTTTTCTTATGGAGAAAAAAAACAAGGGGAAATTTAAACTTCTAATAAATGAAATCATTCATTATCGTGAAGAATATTAAAAGGATATTTACAATACATGTAAACAAAATTTTGCACTTGTGAAAATAGAGTTTTTTTTTCCATCTATTTATCTAAAACTATTATTAATTAGCAATTGAGCATTTATAACACTTTAATATCAGGGTATTCAGTTTTAGTTGAGAGCAGTTATTGACAAATACTGAGGCACACGCACACATTGGTCACATGTAAAAATTAATTTTATAATTGATATCTCGCTATAGTAATAAAACCATAAAACAGCATAAATAACAAAATAACTTCAAATTTCTCAAACATGTTCTCAGATTTCTAGTGAGGGTCCCTAATTTTACGTTTCTATTAGATACATAAATTTCAATGAAGATTATAGTTTTATTCAGGTGATCCTTTTCAAAGAAAATGAAGTGCGTTGAGTTACTACCAATTGAAATAATTATCGGCGTTTTTTTCTTAAAATTTCTCCCCTCTGCTGTCGTAAAACATGGATAAACCCACTTCTAAGTTATATATTTCAAAAATTCTTGTTGAGCCTCTGTATAGAGGTTCGAGCTATAGACAGGCAAAATATTATTATAATAGATGCATTTTTCGCAAAAGGAGAACATTTTGAAAATGGGTCATTCTATGTTCATTTTTTAACAAAATATTGTACTTAAATAATTTTTTATTGTAATACTATTCTTAAAACCATTTTATATACATTTTCTAATCTAAGTGATACTAAATATCATAAATATTATCCATTTATACGCTTTTGCAAAATCACGGTTCCGAAAGTAGTCGAATACCTTAAACTGTTGAGCATTTTTTATCAAAATTATACATTTTCTTTTTTTTTTTGGCTAATTTCTTTGAATTTAATATATTCTTTTTCACAAAATCAAGTTTCTTTTTAAATTTAAATAGAATATCATTTTGATTTTCAACATGTATAAACTTATTTTCGCGAATTTTTTGGAAACAAAATAAGTGTTTGTTGATATAAAGTTTTCTACTGAATCCAATTTGACGGAAATCCTTTATAAAATATATTTATATATATAGATATATAAAGAGACACATTAAAGAGAGTAGAGCTTTAAGAAAAGCATCTTCTCTTTGAAAAATGTACTTCATTTTTGAAATTGTTACAGAACCAGATAAATAAAATGAAATAAAGAAAATGCTTTACATGCTTTTTTCTTCTTCTTTTGTTAAATTGAATTTCGAGTTTTTTAATTGTTCTTTCGTTCTTAATAAAAAAAAAAAAAAAAAACTTTGTTAAATTGTTTGATCAAGTAGTAAATAAATAATTCTTAATATAAGAATAAAATGATTAACGAGAAAATTAATGTCATTAGAGTAAAAACGTGGGATAATTGTTATAATTCCTTACTAGTTCTATTCCGAAATGCTGAGTTAGTGTAAAAATGTAGTACAAAGCACCCCACACTTTTACCACAATGATAATAATTATCTCGTTAATCATTTTATTCTTATATTAAGAATTATTTTTTTTACTTTTTAGTTCGATTCACTATAAAAGCGCGCTTTGTAGTTTTTTTATATATATAAACTATAATTTATTTTTCATTTTTTAGTTCAATCTATAATAAAAGCATGTTTTTTTTAGTTTTTTAAGCTATAATTTATTCATTGTTGAATTTATCCTTGAGTTTTTGATAGTTGGATCCAGAATTACATGGCTGCTGGAATTAGTCTTGCTCTTTAATGGATATTAATTAACGTGTCTGAAAGGGTATTTATTCTCTCCGTTTAAGGGGCCTCGGATGAGTTCCGTATCGTTATATTTCAAAGATACCGTCTCTATAGATACATGTCAAACTAATAAAAGTGTGTTAAGAAGAAATGTTAAATGCGAATCGTATGATCACCGTTTAAACGTATTGCTATAATGTTAATTCGTATAATCAGTTCTAAACATATTGCTTTATAAAAATAAAAAAAAATATTCAGCAGTAAGAACACAATTCTTTTTTCACATTCACGCGAGTGCTTTTTTTTTCTATTTTCAGAAAAACTAGAAAATTGTTTATATTATGGTAAGAAATTGCTAACGCACCACTTTCCCCTTTCTCACATAAAAAACACTTTTTTTGTTTGTTAAGCCTATTCGCTCTTTTAGGGTTGCATCCTCAGTCTCAAAATCTCTCTGGAAATCATTATTCCTGATGATCCTGGTCAGGACAATGGAACAAAATTATGAAATTATTGTATTGTTATCTATCCAGAGGCGTAACGGAAAATAATTGGGCCCCCCGCAAAGTCAGATTTTGGGCCCCAAGCCGGATATATATATATATACAAAGAATTGCAAAACCATAGCATAATGTACCTTTACACATCACGTAAAAAATATTTAAATATTAAACTTATAACTGAACATAAAATCAACCTGTGTCTGAGTAAACAAAGTAAATAACGTTTAACATTAGAGAGTATTTACAGAATTTAAAAAAGGGAAAATCTAACAACAGTCGACTGATAACATGGTAACTAAATAAAAACGACACACTAAGGAAAACACAAACACTGTAAAATAATATTTTCGATTTCAGATCCTTATGATAGAAAAAAGGTATCACTTACCAAATTCTTAGTTTATGAATCCCGGTATCAATTTGACCTTAAGTTCGATAAAATTCTAGCATAAATCGTCAAAAAGTCAAAAACACAACTACTGTTACTATTAAGAAAGCATGGACACAAAAAAGAATGCGCTCACAGTACCACTCAGATTGAACTACAAAAGTATCTAGTTCGTTGGGTAGTTCGCGACACACACTACTAGCTAATATACAGCACTACACTCAAGAAGTAAATCACAAAAAAAGTGATTGACGTCTCACATTTTTCTTAGCAAATTCGGTTATTAATTCATCCAATTC